GTATAATTTTTTTTCCCCCAAAAAACCAAAAATGAAATATATTAGAAAACAGTTGAGTAAAAATGCTACCACACCAAGTGGCTTTCAAAGTCACTGAAGGCAGCACTTTTCTAGTCTTGAGCAACAGCTTTAAAAAAGCTAATTTCTGAGGGGGCGTGGCCTGGCTACTCACGAGAATGGACGCGTGAGAGATCAGCTCCGACGGGGGTAGTTAAAACAGCAGCGATTATCTCAGCAAACCCGACAAAGTGACCCACACACGCCAGCATAGGTGAGACCTGCACCGACTATGTCCCAACGCACAGCGAAAAAAGCAAAAATCCGACCGGCGGAGCTGCAAATAGCGGCACTCACACCGCCGCGAGGGAAGCCTCAAAATGGCGCCGAAGGCCCTAACTCCGAATGGAGTGACAGCACTTCAATATCCCTGGAGTCCACTATACCGGCCTCAGAGACAATGATGCAAGAACTGCAAAATAACTTACAGGCTGAATTCTCCAAACTTGCCAGAGATGTCCGCAAGGATATTAAATATGCGAGCGCACCGCCCAGTTAGAAGAAAAGACGGATGAAATAATAGCAGCACACAATAATCTTGCCTCAGGATATGAATCATTCGACACAAGACTAAATGCACTTGCAGCAAAAGTGGCGGATCATGAGGACCGTGACAGACGAAACAATGTCCGCCTGCGCGGTATTCCTGAAGAGGTTAAGCCCACTGAGCTTCAAGATTATGCCACAGAGCTATTTAAAGCTTTATGTCCTAATCTAAAGGATGAAGAACTGCATCTAGATAGAATACATCGATTACCGCGCCCTAAATTTCTTGCTCCCACCGCTCCGCGAGATGTGTTGACGCGGGTTCACTATTTTACAACCAAAGAAAAAATTATGAGAACGGCAAGAAACCCAAGCGCAATACCGGAAAAATTCACAGGTATCCAGCTATTCACAGATCTGTCGGCGGCGACATTGGCGAAGCGCAAGGAATTTACGCCTTTCACAGCAGCTCTGCGCAACGCAGGGCTCCAATATAAATGGGGATATCCCACCCGCCTCATAATAAGGAGAAATGGAGTGGAGCATCAAGTTCACACTGAACAAGAAGGACTCCGTCTTCTCAAAGAATGGAATCTCCCTATACCCACACCAGGCGGGCACACCGAAGATGGGACTCACCGACAATCTTCAAAGATGGTAACTAAAGACTGGCTTACGGTATCCAACTACAAGTGAAAGACATTTCCCTGTTCACTCAAGCACAGACTAACTACACTCTTGCACACATCGCCTGACGATACGTGAGCATTTATCACTGCTTGACGGCAGTTCAAACGAATGAGAAATGTATTGCTTTATTTGGTTGTTTTGTTTATTTCTGTTTTGACCACTTATATTCTGTGGATGCTGTAACATTTGGTGGGAGAGTCGACCTAGACCTAGGAACAAAGAGATCCCGAGACAGAAGGGTAAAACACACGCACATGAATACCCTCCCCCCATTCAGGCTCTAAAGGGCCACAAAATTCTACCAGACGGCAGACACTTCAGATCTGCAAGTCACATTGTACATAGTTGCCTTCGGGCACTTAATTACCCTGTACCCTTCTTCTCCCCCCCCAATTCCCTCGAGGTATCTAACAGTAACTTTGGATGTTTACGTCCGTCGACTAATGGTACAAGCAGTACATGATGCTCGACTGTATCGAACACACCAGATTTATGCACGGTGTATTCATATTCACATTACTACGTCACAGTGGGAAACCCACATAGAATCTAATTTTGGGAATCTCTTCGAATTAATAAGAAATGAAAGTAACACGATTGCATGGGCACCGCTTAGGCACGCCATCATTTACGGGTGGTTGTTGCTCCACATTCTCCAACAATGTTCCAAAGTATACTTAGCAACCTATGAGGTTCACCAAGGATGACTCTCAAAATATTATCACTAAACACTAAAGGTCTTAATTCCCCTCACAAAAGGAGACTCGCACTAGCTGAGGCTACCAAGCTTAAAGCCCAAATTGCATTTTTCCAAGAAACCCATTTCCTTAACACTAATATGCCCAAATTCACATCGAAACAATTCCCCTTAGGGTTCCATGCAGGGTATGCTAAAAAAAAAAGAGGCGTATCTATTTTAATACACAAGGATGTTACCTTTAAACTCTGCAAGAAAGTTAGGGACAAAGAAGGCAGGTTTCTTCTACTCCATTGCACTATAAACGATGATCCATTCACACTACTGAATGTGTATGGCCCACATGAGAACCAAAAAGACTTTGTATCCAAAATTATATCCTTGGCCCACAAATTTCCTTGCAATAACTTGATTATTGGGGGTGACACAAATTTTATACTTGATAGCGCTGCCGACACAACCTCCACATATACAGTAAATCGCTCCACTTCATGAAAACGCACCCACATTACACAACAAATACGGCAGACGATACATGGAGCAGGCCTTCTAGACATATGGAGGATATTAAACCCATCTGAAAAGGACTTCACCTTTCATTCGCAGGTTTACAATTCGTACTCCAGAATAGACAGGTTCCTAATACCCACCGCCATGACCCGTAAGGTCTGTAATGCCTAGATAGGGATGATAACGTGGTCGGACCATGCACCTATACTACTCACACTACAGGAACATTTTCCACATAAGGGTCAGGGCACATGGAGAATTAACGAAACATTACTACGTGACCCACACATAGTTAAAAGCATTGAAGAAGACATTCACACCTTCTTTGACCTCAACGACACGGGAGAGACTTCTATTGATACAAACTGGCAAGCACATAAGGCAGTAATCAGAGGGAGCCTGATTAAACATGCTAGTTATAAAAACAAACAAAGAACTGCTAAATATACAGACCTCATAAAACAAATAACGGAGTTGACCCATGCGAACAAACTAAACCCTTCTCAAACGCATTACGATGCCCTTAAAACTTTGCAAACGCAACTAAGTGACACAGAGACAGAGAAGACTAATTACATTTTACACAAGCACCGACATAAATTTTTTGCGCATGGTAACAAGTCTGGCGCTGCGCTTGCAGCAAAGCTCAAAGAGCGCTTACCAAACTCCAAAATAGCCTATCTACTGACAGCTGACAAACAAAAAATCCTACACCCGCAACATATTGTAGACGAATTTGCAAAGTACTACAGTACTTTATACAATCTCAAAGAGGCAGAGGGTACACACATCCCCACTCCCGCCCAGGTTCAGGATTTTCTATCCAAAATCAGTCTACCTACTCTCACAGACGAGGAAATAGCACAGATCACGAGCACATTCACAGAATCAGAGGTGGCTGCAGTGATAAATAAACTACCCACACATAAATCTCCGGGTCCCGACGGTTTTACGAACCTGTACTACCAAACATTTGCAAAGGCACTACTCCCACATATGACACAGCTTATAAGCCATTGCTACACCAACGGTTATATGCCAAACGAGATGCTTCAGGCACATATCTCCACATTGCCAAAACCAGGCAATGTATGTATGTCCAAATTTCCGACCCATATCCCTCCTGAACTGTGATACTAAGATTTATGCAAAACTGATAGCAGAGAGACTGAAAGGAATACTGACACGTATTGTCCACAATGACCAATCAGGTTTTATTAAACAGAGACAAGGGTCTGACAACACCAGAAAAATACTAAATATTTTAGCTCATATGGAAGCCCATCACTGGAGAAAGCCTTCGATAGATTAAATTGGCATTACATGGAACAGGTGCTGCTTAAGTATGGTTTCCCAACGACCTTTATCAATGGGGTCATGGCGTTGTATAAACAACCTTCAGCCAGAGTCACAAACGCAGGCTTCGTCTCGAGCCCATTTACTATCACAAATGGGACGAGGCAGGGTTGCCCACTTTCACCCTTATTATTCGTACTCTCCCTCGAACCCTTAGCACATATAATCAGAAATCACGCTCATATCAGGGGTGTACGGTGGGAACCGAAGAATTTAAATTGGCTATGTTCGCTGATGACATTTTCATAACCCTGGCAGATCCGGGCGACTCCCTGTCTTGGCTCCTGGGTGTTCTCGAGGATTATAGTAGGATCTCTTATTATAAACTCAACCAATTAAAGACCCAAGCCCTACCAATTAGGTTGCAGACGGGGATGGTACAATCACTGAAGCACAAACACAAATTCGACTGGAGAACTACCCACATAACGTATCTGGGAGTGAAAATAGCACCCACACTTAGAGGAATTAACACACTCAACTTCTCTTCGCTCCCACAACTATGCCGGCAATCACTGCACAAATGGAAAGATGTGTGGTTATCCTGGCTTGGAAAGATTAATGCTGTAAAAATGGTGATCCTTCCCAAGCTTTTATATGTATTTAGGATGCTTCCTCTTCCCTTGTCCGCCTCAGTAGGCAAACAACTACAACGTCTTATAAACAACTATATTTGGGAAAATAAGAGGCCACGCCTCCCTAGTGTACTTCTACAAATTCCGGTAAACAGAGGGGGGACAGGTCTCCCTAATATCGCGCTTTACCACAAGGCTGCAATACTGGAAGCAGCAATCAAAGTGCATGCCCCCGCACATACGTTCCAATGGGTGGACATGGAGAACAATTATTTTCCACGTGCCTCAGTGGTAGACGTACTGTGGACACCCAAACACCTCAGGGATAAAAGCACCTCATTGCTCCCTACATCTAGAATCACACTCCAAATGTGGGACCACCTCCATAAACGATATGCGAACACTACGAAATTGTCCCCATGGGCTCCGATAACAACATTACATTCCATCTCCCCATGGTTATCTTTACATAAATGGAAAGACAAGGGCATCACACACATCACTGATATATATCAACATTGGACCATTTTACCCTTCCCTGATATCCAACTCAAATATGCCTTACCGTCCAACTACATATTCCCATACCTCCAACTCAAAAGCATAATTAAAGAAAGGGTACACACCCCGACCCAACATGCTCCCGCACCTAACCTTGACCTTATAGCTATATATAATAGGTGCTGAAATGCGCCAATCAAAGCCAAAGCTTTATCCCTTGGATATGCCGCCTTAGGGCAACATCCCCCTCTGACGAATTTTGCTTTTGCGATTCAATGGCATAAAGAAGGGCACCCACAGTTCACTACTGTTCAGTGGCTAAGGTCACTTGGGGCACTCAAAGGCGTGACCTCTTGCTACTCCTACATAGAGGCACATAAGAAACTTGTGTATCGGTGGTACCTCACACCTCACAAACTACATAAAATTTATCCGGCAACTCCGAACACGTGCTGGCGATGCACTAATGATATAAGGACAATGAGGCATGTCTGGTGGGACTGCCCAAATATTTCACCATTGTGGACTGAAGTCCAACGACTGGGCAATTCTCTAGGAATTATGAAGGGAACTCTAACATCCACCATTAGTCTGTTCCTATTATTGCCTGCTCCAGTTTCTGCACAGGACAAGCAACTACTGATTATACTAATACTAGCTGTGCGCAACCTTATCGCGTGCCACTGGAAACACAGACTTGCCCGACGCCACAGCAATTACTCCACAAGACACAACAGTATCTGCGACATGAGATGCTGATTACATCGACACCCAGTCATAGAGATATCACACACAATAATTGGCAACGATGGAGCAACTACATAACCGACAGTCAGCACCCAGGGTAATTTATCATGCATACATAGGCTACTCTACATACCGGGACGGCTTTAAGCACAAACATGACACACGACGCACGACCGACAACGACAGGCTGGATACACATTTGTATGTATTAACGACTGCACAAGGTGTTATGTTTGTAACTGACTATTTGTAACTACTACATTGTAACTATCTAATCTATACTTGTGAACACACCCCCCCCCCTTCTTCCTTTCTGTACCCCCCACAAAACTCAATAAAATACGAATTTGAAAAAAGAAAGCTAATTTCTCCAAAAAACAATAAGAACTATGCGGCTACATCAATGCAGTCATTTTTTAAAGTCACAGAAGGTAACACTTTTCACAGCCTGCATTTCCACACATACAGTCTGTATCGTGAGTGACTGTCCTTCAGTGTTAAGAAAAAAGTTACTTGTCAGCTTATATCAACTGTGTTTGCAGATATAGCAGGCTCCACAAGACTATGCCAAGCAGGGTGAATCCACTACAATAAAAGCATTTTAAAAAAGAGTGAGCAGCAGTAGGAGTCATTTAATTTGTAGAAAGGTTTTTTTTTTTCCCCAAAAAAATTAAAGGAAAACTTGAGTGGGCAATTGATGACCCACTTGTCTATTCCTCTATTTCATTTTTTTTTTTTAAAAATCAATTTTTTTCAAATTAAATAAATTCTAGCTCTGTTAGGGCACTTAGAAAAACCATGAAGGACAGATCGGATGTGAAAGAAAACTTTGTTGTTCTCAGGGTGGCGAAAGTAGGTAGTAAATTGATCACTGACTTTTTCCTTTCATACTTTTTTTTTACAAATTAAAGGGACACCCGATAATTCAAAATACAATAAATAAAAACTAACAAACATAAAAACACTGTTTAGTAGATAAAAACAACTTGCAGAAACTGTAGATGTGCAGCCTTTGCAAGTCTTCTCCTTCTTTCCCAGTCCAAACTTTCTGTGGCTGTGTAATCACAGACTTTCCAATACAGCTGATTGAGAAGTATTTGTAAGACAGGTTCTCTGAGGAATTGCTTGTCTCTTGACTGGTTGTCTGATTTACACCAAGAGGGTGTAAAAAGGTTAATTTGTAAAAGTTCTAATTTCTATTTTGTAAAATGTAAGAAGAGGATACACTCTTCATACACAAAACACTTTAACAAAATAAACTTTTTTTATGTGTGTGGAGTGGTCCTATAAAAAAAAAAACCTCCTGATGCAGCTGCTTCCTATTTTTTTATTAATAGAAGATTATAAAAGAAAAACAATCAATTATCATTAATATACATTTTTTTAATTATACATATCACGTTCCAGAGAAATACACTCAGAGGTCTTGTAGACTTGTGCAATATATCCTTTATTTGTACAAAGGTACAGTCAACTTTTCAGTCCGACTTGAAAAAAGTCCAACTACCAGGAAACCAACTATAAGCTCCTATCGTTCTGGTACAGAACACCCGACAGCTTGCACAGAATCTTTCCAGCTGCACCTAATACATTCTGGAGTTGCGGAGAAGGACAAGGGATGATACTGCACAAAGGGCTGGAATGTTCACGCATTACACCGTTCTGGGAAGAAGTAAAACGAAAAATGGAAGAGATCCTGGGGACAGACAGAAGCTTCGAAGTAGAGACTCCTACATTCCACACCAGACACCATCGGGGCTTACAGGAAATCTATCCTTCGACACCTGCTGAATGCCACCAAGGCTCTGATCAAACTGTACTGGAAGCAAGACGTAACCGCAGCAATAGAGCAATGGCTGCAACGGGTGGAAGAGATATACAGGGCGGAATTGACACAGGCCTTGCTGTATAAAAGAGATGCATGTGGAGAGGAGGCGGCCGTGGCTGGCATATATAGCGGAGCGGGATGGGGAAGGCCACACCCACAAGGGGGCTCCCACACCCCTGGTTAGGGATCACCCTACACGGCTCGTCCCGGAGCCTTGGCCACCTCTGACACCCGCACCGAGGATTACAGAAACCACGCACTGTAGACAAATGCACTGGCCACAGACGTCCCTCATTCCCTCCCCTCCCTTTTTTTCCCCCTCTACTCTTTCTTTTTCCTATACCCTCCATCCTTTTTACTCTCTCTCCACCCTCTCTCTAGGCTTCGGCCTTACTGACCCTAGATACTGGCCCTCTCCATTGCTGGGCGGGCGGATACCTCATGTTCAACCCTGTGGTGACTAACGGATACTCCGCACATCTACACCCATAGGCCAACCTAGTTGGCAACACCACCCACCTGATACCATAAGTTATGCACATAGTATACACGCCGACTAGAGCTGAGGCCCAGTCTTAATTTCCCTTATAACGGAGGACACGCTCCTCAGACACATAAAGCTCTAAGACTAGATGTACTGTAGATAATACTACATTACCTGTGCACTCTGATGATACTGTTGAAACTAACATATCCACTATGGTATGATGTAACTTTTTGACACATCACAATATTACTGATCGGCTCGATCAGACCTGACGATCAATGGCACTCATTTAACCTATGCTTGATAATATTGTTATCTACATTTAAGCGAGACCTGCGTGTCTCTCATGTTACTCACTAACCACACTGCTGTAACTGATCTGATGACACAAATAAAGCTTGTTTGAAATGAAGAAAGTCCAAGTCGGACTGAAACGTTGACTGTATCTTTGCACAAATAATGGATATATTGCACAAGACTTCAAGCCCTCTGAGTGCATTTCTCTGGGACGTTGGGCGAAATAGCACCGAGCCAAGAACAGGACAGTAATGTGAGTGCCAAGTCCATGTTGGATTTATTATACATATCAAATTATATATTTATATAATTTTAGCTCTTTAATTTCCATCATGCTGGCCTTTTGCTTCCAAAACTGTGTCAATATGACAATTCAGATTTTGCATTGCAAAAATGACTGATAATGTATAGCGATTAGGCTAGGCAACATTGTGGTAATTGTTTGCATTGCAAAACAGTTAGTATGAATATTTCGCTGAATCTTTTTCATGGACAGTATTTGGACAAGCTTAACCACAACATGAACAATGTTTGGTTGACCAGATCTAAGTTTTATTTTTGGACAAAGTGATTTGGCTAAACTGTTTCCGCTGTGCACATGTCTAATTCTCATCTTGATTATGCATCAATGGTACTTTCGCAAGAACATACCAATGACCTTGAAAATGGGGGGCATAGGAATAATGACTGGAAAAAGAAGAAAGAAAAGAGCAAGTTGCTTCTAAGATATGCATTGTTTTTTATGTAATATTACCCCTTTAAGGACTGAGCCAAATGCAGTGGCGTACACACAACCCAAGGGGCCCCGATGCGAAAACTGCTTAGTCTGCGTGGGCTGGGGCCGCAACACATAGCGGCGGGCACCGTGGTATGTACGCCAGTGCATGCAGATACACATACACTTAAAGGACCACTACAGACACCCAGATCACATCAGCTCAATGAAGTGGTCTGGGTGCCAGGTCCCTCTAGTTTTAACCCTGCAGCTGAAAACATAGCAGTTTCAGAGAAACTGAGGGTTAATCAAGCCTCTAGTGGCTGTCTCATTGACAGCCGCTAGAGGAGCTTCCGCGATTCTCACTATGAAAATCACAGTGAGAAGATGCTGAACGCCCATAGGAAAGCAATGAGTAATTCTTTCCTAGGGGCGGTTTGAATACGCGTGCGGCTCTTGCCACGCATGCGCATTCGGAGCTGAGAGGCGGTTCGGGGCGGAGAGATCCCCAGCGCCAAGGGAGTCCGGTGCTGGAGAAAGGTAAGTGCTTAAGACACACACTCCCATGAACAGACGCATACACACTAGCTAACAGACACACACATTTACTGACAGACTCAGTGACAGACATACTCACTGACAAACAGACAGATACACACTCACAAAACACACACTCACTAACAGACGCACACAAACTAATACACTCAGTAACAGACACACAGTAACTAACACACACTAACACACACACACACTCTAACACTAACACACACACACTCTAACACTAACACACACACACTCTAACACACACACATTTAAAAAAAAAATGTAATCCCCCAGCCTCCTTACCTTTTGGAGAGCTGAGGGGATTCCCTGGGGTCCATTGGTGTTGCTGGGCGGCCAGTCACCGGGCTGGCAGAGAGAGAGAGTGCTCCCTTGCGCGCCCACCAGCCTGCTTGCCAGCCTGGTGATACCAGGGCCAGCCTGGGCGGGCCCTGAGGTGGCCAGCTCCTGGGCCCCCCAGGAGAAGAGGCTGGCCACACTGGGTACATACTGGGTCTGGTGGGCCGGACCTGGTAGCAGTCGTGACCCCTGCGACCCCGGTATGTACGTCACTGGCCAAATGTACACTTTCAGATCAAAGCAAAACGTAAACATAACCTGGCATTTGCGCTATATGTCTGTCCAACTGTAATTTACCTATTGGATATTGAATGTACACACACTTATTATATATAATTTTATTCGGGAGAAACAGGGCTTTCATTTAACATCAACTATTTAGCTATGAAACATAATTTAATATGAATAAAATATAAAAAAAATGGGAGAAAATAGGGCCAACCTCACCAGCATATGGTCTCACAAGGGGTCTGAGGATCTCATCACGGTACCTAATGGCAGGCTGGCTACTTCTGGTGAGCACATGGAGGGCTGTGCGGCCCCCCAAAGAAATGCCACCCCTCACCATTACTGACCCACTGCCATGCTGGAGGATGTTGCAGGCAGCAGAACGTTCTCCACGGCATCTCCAGACTCTGTCACGTCTATCACATGTGCTCCGTGTGAACCTGCTTTCATCTGTGAAGAGCACAGGGCGCCAGTGGCGAATTTGCCAATCTTGGTGTTCTCTGGCAAATGCCAAACGTCCTGCACGGTGTTAGGCTGTAAGCACAACCCCCACCTGTGGACGTCGGGCCCTCATACCACCCTCATGGAGTCTGTTTCTGACCGTTTAAACAGACACATGCACATTTGTGGCCTGCTGGAGGTCATTTTGCAGGGCTCTAGCAGTGTTCCTCCTGTTCCTCCTTGCACAAAGGCGGAGGTAGCGGTCCTGCTGCTGGGTTGTTGCCCTTCTACAGCCTCCTCCACATCTCCTGATGTACTGGCCTGTCTCCTGGTAGAAGGGCTGGACTGGGAAAAAAATTCGGCCCGGGCATTTTTTTATCACAGCGGCCCACTAAGAAGGGGGCGGGGCAGAGAGGGTGTGTTTTGTCATTACTCATGACAAACACGCCCCCTCTCAAAGTGAGCATGTTGGTTCAATGCTCTTCCAGGGCAGACCATGCACAGAGCTCTGCTGAAGAGCTCTAGCATGAGAAAAAAGCCCTGTATTTGTTCTGCACAGTGCAAGCAAATTTAATAACATGCTTGCACTGTGTTTCCTTACAACTTGTCTCTGGTGTCTCTATAAATGGATACCAGGAGACAAAAGGGCCAGGAAAGAGTATTGTGCATGTGTTTGGAGCCTGCTTGGGGTATTGTGTGTGTGCAGAGTGAGCTGGTCGAGGTGTGGTATTGTGTAATAAGGTCGGTTTTAGTCGTGTTGTGTTTGTGGTGTAATGTAATGCATATGTGGCTAGGGGCTTTAGAGAATGTGTGTTTAGGGGATGTAACAAGTGTGTGTATACAGGCTATAGTGTGTGTGTGTGTGTGTGTGTGTGTGGGTAATGTAGTGTTTGTAGAGAGTGTGTGTTCAGGGAATGTAGTATGTGTTTGTTTACAAGGAATCTAGTGTGCGTATAGGGGATCCAGAGTGTGTGTGTATTTGAAGGACCCAGAATATGTATAGGAGATCTAGTGAGCATGTGTATATAATGGATTCAGAGTGTATATAGGGATCTAGTGTGTGTATGTGTGTAGATGATCCAGAGTTGGGTAGGATCTAGTGTGTGTCTGGAATGAAATGTGTTTAGGGGTGCTGTGTGTGTGTGTGTGTGTGTGTGAGGGGTGCTGTGTGTATATATATATGTGTATATATATATTATATAAATATGTTTGGAAGTATTGTGTATGTGTGTGATGCAGTGTATCGGGGGGTTGTGTGTGTATGTGAGGGGTGCAGTATGTGTGTGTGATGGATCCTGTGTGCGAGGTGTGGGTGCTGTGTGAGGGTTTTGTGTGTGTGAGGGTGCTGTATGTGTGGGTGCTGTATGTGATTGATTTGTGTGAGGGTGCTGTGTGTGTGGGTGCTGTGTATGATGTGTGTGAGAGTGTTGTGAGTGCTGAGTGTGAGTGCTGAGTGTTATGTGTTTGAGAGTGATGTGAGAGAGTGCTGAGTGCTGTGTGTGAGAGTGTTGTGTGTGATAGTGCTGTGTATGTGTGTGAGAGTGCTGTGTGAGAGTGCTGTGTGTGTTGTGTGTGAGAGTGCTGTGTTTGTTGTGTGTGAGAGTGCTGTGTGTGTTATGTGTGAGAGTGCAGAGTGTGATGTGTGTGAGAGTGCAGAGTGTGAGAGTGCTGTGTATGATGTGTGTGAGAGTGCTGTGTATGATGTGTGTGAGAGTGCTGTGTATGATGTGTGTGAGGGTGCTGTGTATGATGTGTGTGAGAGTGCTGAGTGTGATGAGTGTGAGAGTGCAGAGTGTGATGTGTGTGAGAGTGCTGTGTATGATGTGTGTGAGAGTGCTGTGTATGATGTGTGTGAGAGTGCTGAGTGTGATGTGTGTGAGAGTGCTGTGTATGATGTGTGTGAGAGTGCTGTGTATGATGTGTGTGAGAGTGCTGAGTGTGATGTGTGTGAGAGTGCTGAGTGTGATGTGTGAGAGTGCTGAGTGTGAGAGTGCGGTGTATGAAGTGTGTGAGAGTGCAGAGTGTGATGTGTGAGAGTGCTGTGTGTAAATGTGTGTGAGAGTGCTGTGTATGATGTGTGTGAGTGCAGAGTGTGATGTGTGTGAGAGTGCTGTGTATGATGTGTGTGAGAGTGCTGAGTGTGAGAGTGCTGTGTGTGAGAGTGCTGTGTGTGAGAGTGCTGAGTGTGAGAGTGCTGAGTGTGTGAGTGCTGTGTATGATGTGTGTTGGAGTGCTGTGTATGATGTGTGTGGGGGGGGGTAAATAAACAAATAAAAAACTATGGGGGGGTAAATAAAGAAATTTAAAAAAAAAAAACTAAGTAGGCATTAAATCCCCCCCTCCCTCTTACCTTTAGCCTGGGAGGGGGGACAGGCACGTGGTGTCTGGGAGGAGGGGGACCGGCACGGTGACATCATCCCTGGTGGTCCAGTGGTGAGTGAACTCTAGCCTGAGGGCTAGAGTTCACTCTCGCGAGATCGGAGCGTTGCCATGGCAACGCGCCGGATCTCGCAAGAGGAACCGGGCGGAGCTACAAGATAGAGCTCCGCCGGGTCCTCTCCCTCCCTCCCCAGCCACAGGTCTATTTAAATGGGCCGGTGAGGGAGAGCTTTGATCTCCCCACCGGCCCTCCATGGCAAACAGCGGGGCCGGCGCTCGGATAGTGCCGGCCCTGCATACACCGGCAGGGGAGATCCTGGGACCTCCCCTGCTGGCCTCGGCCCCACGGCCACCGCGGCCCACCGGGCATTTGCCCGGTGTGCCCGATGGCCAGTCCTGCCTGTTAGCACCTCCATGCTCTGGACACTACGCTGACAGACACAGCAAACCTTCTTGCCACAGCTCGCATTGATGTGCCATCCTGGATGAGCTGCACTACCTGAGCCACTTGTGTGGGATGTAGACTCCGTCTCCTGCTACCACTAGAGTGAAAGCACCGCCGGCATTCAAAAGTGACCAAAACATCAGCCAGGAAGCATAGGAACTGAGAAGTGATCTGTGGTCACCACCTGCAGAACCACTCCTTTATTGGGGGTGTCTTGCTAATTGCCTATAATTTCCATCTGTTGTCTATCCCATTTGCACAACAGCATGTGAAATTGATTGTCACTCAATGTTGCTTCCTAAGTGGACAGTTTGATTTCAAAAAAGTGTGATTGACTTAGAGTTACATTGAGTTGTGTAAGTGTTCCCTTTATTTTTTTGAGCAGTGTATATATATATATATATATATATATATATATATATATATATATATATATATATATATATATATATATATATATATATATAACACGCATATATATATTTTTTAAAATTTTTATATAGGTATATATAGTGATATATATATACGTATATACTTATGTATATAAGTAACAAGGGATTGCACTCCTGGTTAAATTCTTAATGCCCGGTGCAGGTCTGGAAAATCATATAGATATAGTAGAAAGGACTGCACTCCAAGGTCTTTGTGATAGTTTTCAAATAAAATTTAACTTTTATGTAATCCATATAAAAGACTTTTACATGGATTAAATAAAAGTTCAATTTTATTTGAAAACTATCACAAAGACCTTGGAGTGCAGTCCTTTCTACTATATCTACTTATGTATATAGATATATATTATTTCGTTCTACGTGTATTTTGATATCTATCTGTTAGAACGAAATAACACATATATATATTCTTGAATTATTTTTAATTATTTTTCTATTTAAATTTTTTAACGTATTTAATTTTTTTATATTATATATAATTATATATATATATATAATCAATATCATTCTATGTGTATTTTAATATTAATATATATAATTATATATATATTAATATTAAAATACACTAAGTGTATGTGTGTGTATGTGTAAATGTATATATATATATATATATATTATATATATGATCTAAGTATATATTATTTAATTTTACACTGTTTTAATCTTTATGTATTCATTTTACAGCCAGCAGGTAGACTACTTGTCATTCCAGGCAGTCCCCCTGCTGGCAATTTTACACTGTTTTAATCTTTATGTATTCATTTTACAGCCAGCAGGTAGACTACTTGGCAATGCTATGGACGGCTATGCCGTCCATGTAATCGTGAGGTCCTCGCAAGGACTTCATGATCACATGGCCCAGGGGGGCCAGAACGGCAGCAGGAGGGCTCCCTGGGATGGCAGGTGAGTCCCCCCACCGCAATCGCCTGCGTGGGATGACCGGCGACCGGGTAAGTACATAGGATGGCTTGGGCGTTCTATGCTGCCCACGCCGGCGTTTAGGAGTGGATCCCCAAGGACGGCATAGAACGCTCACAGTCCTCAAGGGATTAATGTATGTATATACTGTTATTTACTTACCCTTCCTCCTATTTCATGTGTCTTGCCAACAAGTAGATACATGTACAGGGAGTGCAGAATTATTAGGCAAGTTGTATTTTTGAGGATTAATTTTATTATTGAACAACAACCATTTTCTCAATGAACCCAAAAAACTCATTAATATCAAAGCTGAATATTTTTGGAAGTAGTTTTTAGTTTGTTTTTAGTTATAGCTATGTTAGGGGGATATCTGTGTGTGCAGGTGACTATTACTGTGCATAATTATTAGGCAACTTAACAAAAAACAAATATATACCCATTTCAATTATTTATTATTACCAGTGAAACCAATATAACATCTCAACATTCACAAATATACATTTCTGACATTCAAAAACAAAACAAAAACAAATCAGTGACCAATATAGTCACCTTTCTTTGCAAGGACACTCAAAAGCCTGCCATCCATGGATTCTGTCAGTGTTTTGATCTGTTCACCATCAACATTGCGTGCAGCAGCAACCACAGCCTCCCAGACACTGTTCAGAGAGGTGTACTGTTTTCCCTCCTTGTAAATCTCACATTTGATGATGGACCACAGGTTCTCAATGGGGTTCAGATCAGGTGAACAAGGAGGCCATGTCATTAGATTTTCTTCTTTTATACCCTTTCTTGCCAGCCACGCTGTGGAGTACTTGGACGCGTGTGATGGAGCATTGTCCTGCATGAAAATCATGTTTTTCTTGAAGGATGCAGACTTCTTCCTGTACCACTGCTTGAAGAAGGTGTCTTCCAGGAACTGGCAGTAGGACTGGGAGTTGAGCTTGACTCCATCCTCAACCCGAAAAGGCCCCACAAGCTCATCTTTGATGATACCAGCCCAAACCAGTACTCCACCTCCACCTTGCTGGCGTCTGAGTCGGACTGGAGCTCTCTGCCCTTTACCAATCCAGCCACGGGCCCATCCATCTGGCCCATCAAGACTCACTCTCATTTCATCAGTCCATAAAACCTTAGAAAAAATCAGTCTTGAGATATTTCTTGGCCCAGTCTTGACGTTTCAGCTTGTGTGTCTTGTTCAGTGGTGGTCGTCTTTCAGCCTTTCTTACCTTGGCCATGTCTCTGAGTATTGCACACCTTGTGCTTTTGGGCACTCCAGTGATGTTGCAGCTCTGAAATATGGCCAAACTGGTGGCAAGTGGCATCGTGGCAGCTGCACGCTTGACTTTTCTCAGTTCATGGGCAGTTATTTTGCGCCTTGGTTTTTCCACACGCTTCTTGCGACCCTGTTGACTATTTTGAATGAAACGCTTGATTGTTCGATGATCACGCTTCAGAAGCTTTGCAATTTTAAGAGTGCTGCATCCCTCTGCAAGATATCTCACTATTTTTGACTTTTCTGAGCCTGTCAAGTCCTTCTTTTGACCCATTTTGCCAAAGGAAAGGAAGTTGCCTAATAATTATGCACACCTGATATAGGGTGTTGATGTCATTAGACCACACCCCTTCTCATTACAGAGATGCACATCACCTAATATGCTTAATTGGTAGTAGGCTTTCGAGCCTATACAGCTTGGAGTAAGACAACATGCATAAAGAGGATGATGTGGTCAAAATACTCATTTGCCTAGTGCAGATTTAACTTTATCCTGATAGCTGATTTAGCTGTCTTTTCCTTACCATTTATATCTGTGACTACATTCAGATGACCTTAGTGCTTTGCATGATACAGGTCTATGTTCACCATGGTAAGAAATGTGAAATATGAGTAATTATTAGACATTAATGCATGCAATATAATACCTTCTGTTAGTGTCAACTATTATTTAAAGAGTTTCAATGATATACTTTATGTGGGACTAGTTTTGAATACTTGAGACAGAGGGATTAGTAATTTAACTGGGGAAACCTGTCAAATAATACCTTCATGTTTCAGTTGAAAGATGCACAAACTGGAATGGGTGCTTGTCTGGATTTGATAATAACTAATAGACTTGGGCATTCGTAGTCGTACAAATGGATTTTTGTCTGAAAATCTGCATTTTTGTCCATTCCTACGAATACTGAATAACAAATGGCTAGACAAACGAATGAACGAACAAACGAATGGGCATCCAATGAAATTCTTCCATGAGCCTTTCGTTTGTTCGTTAATTTGGCTTTTTGTATTACACTGTCTGTGTAATTAAAAAAGCCAAATGAACGAATGGCAATATATTCATTCTTTCATTTGTTAGTTCTGTTCACTCCCATCAAATCTGATGGGATTGGGTCAAACTAACGAATGCGTGTGAATAAATGTGCCTTTCGTTCATTCGTATCACTAGTTCAGCTTTTTGAATTACAGACAGGCAGTGTGCTGTCTGTAAGGTATATGTGTGTGTAATACATATTGCAATGCAAACTGCTGAACAAGAAATACGAAAGCACAGATGAAATAATAATGGGAGTGAGACGAACAACGTTCGCGCTCCGAACGAACAAATCATTTGTGAATTTGTATCAACTGTTCGTGATTTTTAAATGCATTGCTTTAGCATATGAGGATAGTAGAAACAAATAAACAAATTAACTAATTTGCCTCAATTCGTGTATTCGTTCATTCGGATGCCTTGTATGAAACAAAGGTGAGGGGTATGTGAGTGAGCTGATTTT